AATAATTATTATTATAATAATAACACAATTTTGCTATTCATAAATGACAACAATGCACAGTTAGCATCGTAATTATTATATAATAGTATTATTATAATAATAACACAATTTTGCTATTCATAAATGACAACAATGCACAGTTAGCATCGTAATTATTATATAATAGTTATAATTATAAACACACTGACACTTTGTTGACGCTGATTTAATAATAATAATAATAACAACAACTATAATAAAAATACTATTTATGTAACAATTAAATACCAGAAACGTAACTCAATATCAGCATTAGTTTGAACACGTGTCTATTTTTAACAGCGGATTCAAAATACGCGCTTAATGATGTGACGCAATATACACATGCCATCATCTGACGTCATCCCACGTCCCTTCGCAAGTGATCGCTCTCGCGAAATTCCCTCGTTTGTCGTCTGCAATTTACGGCGTTAATTTTGGAACGTAAAACTTCGTCTGCAACTTTTTCATTTTGAGCAAGTTGACACGGTTACTTGTGCTGCCCTCTCTCGGCGGCGTGATTTGGTTCATCGTGATTACGTCACTTTGTTTTTTCGATATTAAGTTTTTTGATAGGGAATCATCGACATAGTGATTGTGAGGAAAACTTAAAACATTATTCACACTACTATCGCTATCAACCGATCTAGAATCGCTATATTTCGGACTCAACGACCCAAACGGAGAACTCTGGTCATAAATATCCAATTCTTCTGGCGGCCATATTTCTTCGTCGTCTTCCGGAACGGAAATCCGCGCATCTGGACCGTCTGGATTAAGTCCTCCCGTGACGTCATCACCGGACGTGACGTCGCCACGCCCGCATCTCGTCGTTGCGTCTCGTCTGGCGATCGCTTCATCGGATCCCCGCCAGGTGTCGCCGGGTTGCGCCGCCAGGGCGCGCTGTTCGACGCTCTCACGCAGCAGACGATGGTACTCGAGCGCGATGCGAAACTCGACAAGCTTGCTACGGTACTTGTCCCGCCGCGCGCGCAGCGTCTGCGCATGCGCCGTCAGCGCTCGCACGTCCGCCTCCAAGCTGTCCCGCTGGCGCGACAGTACCGCCATGTTGCGGCGCGACGATCGCAGCGACGTCACCTCGCCGCGCAGTGACGTCACGTCGTCGGCCAGCAGCTCGTAGTCGGAGTAATCGATGAGTCGTCGGTTGAGTTCGTCGTCGAGCGAGCCGACGCTCGTCTGCAGGTCACGTGTCTCGGCGCTGAGCGCTGAGTGGACGGCCTTGAGTCGCTCGTTCTCGGTGACGGTGTCCTCCAGCGCGTAACTATGGCAACGGACGAACGAGAGAAAGAATTTACGTGCGAGTGTGGTAAAGAGGACGTAGCAAAGTAAATATGTTGTTTACATTAATTAATAAAAAATAAGGTAAAAAAATATAATGAAATATAATTAATAAGATGTGGCAAGGTAAATATGAGGAAGTACGCCAAATATAGAAAGCATCAGCCTGTGAAATAATACGTCACTGTGAGGATAAAGGAGTAAATAACAGACGTAGAATATGTAATAACGTATAACGGGAAATACAGACGTACAAGGATCATCAGGTTCTTAGCTGCTATATACCTTGCGCTCTTCACGTTTTCGAGTTGGCTCACTACGTGGCGCCACTGTCGCTCGGCGTGGCTAGCATGTAGGGGCTGCGAGCCTTCCTCGTTTTCCTCCTCTATAACGTGCTGCTCTACCGCCTTGTAACCGGAGAGGAGCTGCAAGGAGACGACGCTTGGGGGTAAACACAGGCGGGTAGAGATAGATGGGGAGAAGGTAATGGGGAGAAGGGTGGAGAGCAGGATCTCTCTCTCTCTCTCTCTCTCTCTCTCTCTCTCTCTCTCTCTCTCTCTCTCTCTCTCTCTCTCCTTGATCTGAATATTCTCTTACGCGGGTCATTGCCGCTGTCGGCAGCAACGCCCCCGAGGATGAGAATGGATAATTCCATTTCTCTCCCACTGGTACGAGGAGGGAATGTGGACGATTGATCATTCCGTCAGATAAATTGGTGCATGGGCGGCGGACACATAGTGTATACACGCGTTAGCCCGCGAAGCAAACAGTTTGCTTATACGTGGTGTGCAACTGGCCGTGACTGGAAACTGATGATGAAGATGTTGATATTATATACAGTACGGGCGAACCGTACCACATGGAATCACAAGATACCATATTATCAAGAGCTCATAATAGAGCGTCCCTATTATGAGCTCTTGATATTATATAGGACAGCATACTACAAGGGGATCCAGCTAGATGCATTTGCGTCGATTGCGAATTTTATTTCTACCGTTGCGATCATGCATGCCAGGCTCGTATTCTGAACAAATTTCTACGGATGGCGGCGGGTTAATTTCAGAACTCGGTAATGATGGTGGAGGAGCGCAGTTGTCAGTCAACAAGCGCATGGTGAGGCGTAGTCCGAGTTTCCTCTGACCAATGCCCACACCGACGATTTTTGGTGGATTTAGTGTGGGTTTGATCAAAACCCCCACTGAAGCCACCAAAGATCGTCGATGTGGTCATTGGTCAGAGGAAACTCGGACTAGGTGAGGCGGCGATGGGCCTGCGACGAACGTTTCACTGATGACCACATGGTGATTTACATTTCATGTGTGTTACATTCTTAAAAAAATGAGGAAGCTAGCTACCTTCTTGCCTCCTTAGCGGCACCGTCCCGCATGCTGTACACGTGCATGAATGAAAAGCATGGATTTTGCCTTGCCGACTACACGCACTATAGCGTACTTACTCGCCTCACATCACTACACTCCGAGCGATCTTCTCGCTCTCACCGGATCTCACAGCAGCAATCGTGGATATTAGCCCGTGATTATTAATAAGTCTCGGCTTGCAGCAGTCGGTATCACCTGTTGTGTGGACCGAGCAAACACTCGTGTTCGTAGATGGCTGTTTACGCGCAGCCATTGCCCCTTGTCAAGTGAGCATCAAAATTATCAATAACCTGTGCGAGTGTGCGTGCCTGTGAGCGTGCGCGCGTGCGTGCGGGGGAGACGAGTGAAGAGAGGAGAGGGGGAGAGAAAGAGCGATATGTAAGTGCGCGCGCGAGAGAGTGATTGAAAGAGACACACAGAGAGAGAGAGAGAAGACAGACAGACAGACATACAGACACACAGACAGACAAACAGAGGGTGAGAGAGAGCAAGAGAGGAAGAGAAAGACAGGTCGTTAGAGAAAGAGAAAGAGAAAGAGAGAGCGAGAGAGAGAGAGAGAGAGAGAGAGAGAGAGAGAGAGAGAGAGAGGGAGAGAGAGAATCAGAGAGCGAGAAAAAGAAAGAAAGAGAGAGAGAGCGAGAAAGAGAGAGAGAGAGAGAGAGAGAGAGGGAGAGAAAGAAAGAGAGGGGATAGATGGTGCGAGAAGGTTAGAGGAAATAAGAGGTAGATGGAGAAAGGGGTGAGAGGAGGAAATAGAGTAGGGAGAGAAATAATATATTATAAATATATTAAGAAAGTGAAGAGAAAGAAGGAAAGGATGAGATTGGAGGGTTTTGCAATGTAGTATAACTCAAGTATAAATAAAGAATTAAAAGTAAATAAATCATTACCTTTTTGGATGATTTTGTAATTGGTATAAATTTAGAATACATCGTTCATACGATCACTTTTGCATACTGGCTATACACACTTGACAATATTCAAATGAGCAATTTGCAAATACGTATTACTGCATGACTTCGGAATCTATACGAACGAATTGTTGTTTTTACAGAGCATATCATAACGACAAATGTGCACGCCTCTTAATGGCATTTGGGCATATATTTCTGACCCGTTCAAGAAAGCTGATCAGCAAGAATCGAGTGCAATATGCGAAATAATGACATGCTTTTATTATTTATAAAACTAGTACAATAATACAAGTATATAACAAGTACACTGCTACAGTAAGACGACGATCCCTTTAACCCATGGCCAACACTGTCTGTCCCCACGTTACAGCGTGTGCAAACACACGCTGCACGATGTATACTACACGTACAATGTATCTATTTATCTATCCATCAATCCATCCGTCCGTTCGTCTGACCGCCCATCCGCCCGTCCGTCCGTCCGTCCGTCCGTCCGTCCGTCCGTCCGTCCGTCCGTCCGTCTGTCTATCTATCTATCTATCTATCTATCTATCTATCTATCTATCTATTTATCTATCTGTTTATCTATCTATTTATCTATCCATCTATCTATCTATCTATCTATCTATTCATCTATCTATCTATCTATTTATCTATCTACCTATCTATCTATCTATCTATTTATCTATCTATTCATCTATTTAGCTATCTATTTATCTATCTATATATCTATCTATCTATTCATCTCTCTATCTATCTATCTATCTATTCATCTCTCTATCTATCTATTTATCTATCTATCTATCTATCTATTCATCTCTCTCTCATCTATGGCGTATCCCATCTATGCTAGTCTAGTGCTATCTATCTAGTCTAGGGGTCTATTATATTTATGGCTACGTCTATCCTGAGTCTATGCTACTCTATCTATCTACCTATCTACGACTTTTTTTTGACCTATTTATCTATCTATCAATCTATCCTATCTAATCTACTATCCTATCTATCTATCTATTTATGTTATTTATCTATCTATCTATCTATCGCTATCTATCTATCTATCTATTATTTATCTATCTATGGCTATCTATCTATCTATCTTCTATCTATCTATCATCTATCTATCTATCTGATCTATCTATTCTATCTATCTATCTATCTATCTATCTATCTATCTATCTATCTACATCTATCATATCTATCTATCTAATCTATCTATCTATGACTAAACACCCGGCCGTGCCATGGCATTTATCCATCCATCTATCGTATAACACCTGAAGAATCCAGATTTTTTCGCAACCCGTATCGCCTCTGTCGAAAGGAGAGAAAACTACAAAACGCCGAACGGAGGAGGCCCCTGGGGCGGACAGAGAGCATGGACAAGACACCTAGCGCCACATCAGCACGGCCGGATGATAACTTATAATGTGATGACGTGAATGACGTGATAGCGTGATGACGTGATCTGCATGATGGGACGTGATAGCGTGAGAACGTGATGGCATGATGTACGTGATGACGTGATAGCGTGATGACTTTGATGACGTGATGGCAATGGATGACGTGATGAATGTGGATGACGTGATACGTGACTGACGTGAATGGACGTGATGACGTGATGCGTGATGAGTAGATGGCATGATGAGCGTGATGACGGCCTCGATGATGTGACTGACGTGAATGACGTGATAAGCGTGATGACGTGATGGCGTGATGAACGTGATCATGATGACGTGAATGGACGTGATGACGTGAATGACGTGATGGCGTGATGGCATTGATGACGTGATGACGTGATGACGTGATGACGTGAGGACGTGATAGCGTGATGGCGTGATGACGTTGATGACGTGATGACGTGATGAACGTGATTGACGTGATGACGTAGATGACGTGATGACGTGAATAACGTGAGTGACGTTGATGACGCTCTCACCACACTGACGTGCATGATCGTGATGACGTGATGACGGTGAAGCCGTAGACGTGTATGACGTTGATAGCGTGATGGCGTGATGACGTGATGACGTGAATGACGTGAGCTGACGTGATGACGGTGATGGCGATGATTGCACGTGATAGCGTGATGGGCGTGATGACGTGATGACGTGATGGCAATGATGAACGTGGATTAGCGTGATGGCATGAATGACGTCGACTGCACGTGATGATGAGTGATGACGTGATGAAGTGATACGTGATGACGTGATAGCGTGATGGCGTGATGAACGTGTGACGTGATGGCATGATGACGTGATGAACGTGATGACGTGATGCCGAGATAAACGTAATGAGTGAACGTGATGAAACTGAGACGTCTGATAGCGTGATGAACGTGATGACGTGATAGCGTGATGACGTGCATAGCGTGATGGCAGAGACGTGATAGCGTGAATGGCATGATGACGCTGATGACGTGATGATGTGATGACGTGATGACCGTGGATGACGTCGATAGCGAGTGAATGACGTGATTAAGCGTGATGGGTGATGACGTGATGGCATGATGACGTGATGGCATGAAGCGTGATGACGTGATAACGTGATCTGACGTGATAAGCGTGAAGACGTGAATGAATGATGATGTGATACGCGTGATGGCATGATGAAACGTGAATGACGTGATGGGCATGACGTGAATGACGTGATGACGTGATGGACGTGATGACGTGAATGAGCGTGATAGGCGTTGATGCATGATGACGTATGACGGTGATGATGTGATGATGTGATGACGTGATGACGTGATACGCGTGATGGCGTGATGACGTGATGACGTGATGACGTGATGGCATGACGTGATGACGTGATAACGTGATGACGTGATAGCGTGATGACGTGGATGACCGTGATGATGGTGATAGCGTGATGTGCAAGATGACGTGCATGAACGTGATGGCATGGCGTGATGACCGATTGATGACGTGATGCGTGATGGACGTGATGAGCGGTGATAGCGTGAAGCGTGATGCATGATGACGTATGACGTGATGGACGTGTTCGACGTGATGAGCGTTATGACGTGATGAGCGTGATGACGCTGATGGGCTTGATGCACGTGATAAGACGTGACTTCGACGTGATGCGTGATGACTGTGATGGCGTGATCGAACTGATGACGTGATAGCGTGATGAACGTGATGGCATGATGACGTGGATGACTTGATAGCCGTGATGACTTGATGACGTGATGGCATGATGACGTGATGACGTGATGATGTATGACGTGATGACCGTGAATGACTGTGATGGCATGATGGCATGACTGACGTGATGGCTGGTGGATGACGTAAGATGATGTGATAACGTGATGACGGTGATGACGCTGATGACGTGATGGCGAAGATAACGGTGATGACGTGATGACGTGAGGACGTGATGACGTGATGACGTGAGGACGTGATGACTGATGAGCGTTGATAGCGTGATGCGTGATGACGTGATCAGCGTGGATGACGTGAAGACGTGATGAGCGTGATGACGTGATGAACGTTGATAGCGTGATGAACGTTGAAGACGGTGATGACGTGATAGCGTGAATGACGTGAAGAGCGTGATGACGTGATGCGTGGATGACGTGATAGCGTGATAAAGCGTGAATCGGCAATGATGCAATGATGACGTGATGGCATATGACCGTGATGACGTGATGGCCGTGATGACGTGATAGCGCTGATGACGTGATGCGGTGATGACGTGATAGGCGGATGGCGGTGATGACGTGATACGCTGAGGCTTGCAGTTGATCGTCCTCACACTTTCGCTTCTGCGTTTCTTAGTCTTGTTTTTCTCTCTGGTTATATCTGTTTCGCGATCTCTCTCACTCTCTCTGATTGACA